AAATCGGCCGAACACTGGGGGGACCAGTGTTCGTGGCTTTTCGGCCGTGGCCGAAATCGGCCGAAGGTTTAAATATATATATATAAGAAAGAGAGGGTTTAGGGTTTAGGGTTTAGGGTTTAGGGTTTAGGGTTTAGGGTTTAGGGTTTAGGGTTTAGGGTTTAGGGTTTAGGGTTTAGGGCTAGGGTTTAGGGTTTAGGGTTTAGGGTTTAGGGTTTAGGGTTTAGGGTTTAGGGTTTAGGGTTTAGGGTTTCAGGGTTTAGGGTTGAGGGTGGCCCGAATACCCTTTAAAAAAACAAAAAACACTTTCTGTAGCCCTCGTCGTTCCAGCCGCTCGTCACTCTGAGCTCAAGTCAGTCCAAGATCCGTTCCAAGGGCTCCACGAGTTTGAGGGTCGATGGTACCCTAGGGTTTAGGGTTTAGGGCACTATAGGGCCTTTTAGGGCTCTTTGGGGGCTTATAGACCTTCGGCTCCCTTGTAGAGTTTAGGGTTTAGGGTTTAGGGTTTACGGAGGTTCTTTTAGCGTTGTCCAAGGTGTAATTAATTGAATCCCTAGTAAAACCTTAAATTAATAAACTAATTAAATTTGGGAAAAGCTGGCGGCTTTCACCTTTTCTCACTGCATAGACAGGTATGCTCAAGAGCGCTCTGTAAGCCAAATGTAGCGGATAAAATACAGTCAACATCTATGCCATCAATACACTCTCATTCATGTCCAGGCTATACATAGGTGAGATTGAGACTCAACCTTCTCTCTGGCATGAATGAGCGGAAAACCGCTGTGCGTCTTGACTCGATCGCACGAAACGTGCATGCGCTGCTTAGGAGTCGCATGACTGACACACACACCCTGAGGGTCGTGTAGATCATCCTAGTTGCTTCTCCGACTGCCTCTCGATTTGATACTGACAGGCTGTCAATACCTTGATGAGGAAGTCGGGGCGCATACTCTTCGTCAAGCAATCAGCGATCATGGTGGCCGTAGAGGTCCACACAACTTGGTCACCTGCACCGGGAAAGACCTCGGTACTGCGGGTGCCATCGTCTTCGAACAACGCCTGACGCAACGCGTTCAGTTCTATTTGGAGACGTTTGTCTTGGACACGTGAAGGGACCTCCACGTTGAGGTGCTCAGACAGACTACGACAGTCTGTGAGCATCATGTGCGGAACCGTCCTTCTGGATCGGTCGTACCAATCAGCTCCTGGACTGCCTTGTCCATACAATTCGGCCAACAGAGCTCGAATTTGGTCACCTGACTCTTGCGCACTCTGTAGCGCGTACGTCTCGGCTTGGAGAGTTGCTCTGCATACTCTCTTGATTGTCGTTGATCCAAAGCTGATCAAGGTAACATCGAATACGCAATTGCCTGGCGTGGTCAATTGCTTCCTTGGAACTAGGAAGTGAATACGTCCCTGCTGGGATCGTAAACCTGGCTCCCCGGCAAAACTGGCATCTGAGGCGGTTAAAACTCCCAGATCCATAAAGTCGAAAGGACCATTTTTGTACCGGATGCAGAAATCTTTTCCTGCAAGAGCAATTTCAAGGCATTTGTTAGCCTCCTTAAGGATAGCTACGGTGGCTCCCTTAACCTTGGACTGCAAATACGAAACTTTGTACAGGATATCCGGCCTGCCTTGTCTGGCTATCCAGCTCAGACTACCCACTACGCTACGCAGTTGACGTTCTTCACCTTGCGTGATCGGGCCCGAAGATTGTCGGCCCTTCGCTATGTCGATATACGTAGTACGGCGTGTGTTATCGCTAACGTCGATAACTATGTCCTTGCCGGATTGGTCAAATTGCTTCCCGCAAAATCGGAGTCTCTTGATCTCCTTTCTGCCGATTTCGAACCTTTCTAAGAGTCGATTCATGATTTCATCACCAGTGGGGGTTGATGCCCAAAGAAAATCGTCGACATGAGTGGTAAGTAAGAGATCTACTTTACTACCCGTGGTGTGGTAGTAAAACGCGGGAAAAATGCGCGACGCATTAAGACCTACGTCTTTTGCGTCTTTGTCTACGCGCTTCCAAAACCCTCTCCCACTGTCTTGGAGTCCATAGACAGGAACGCGAACTAACAACATCGCTTCCGGGTCTACGCCCGGGAGTCCCCCTCGGGGTTGTCGCATCAGCACTATGCGATCTATTGGGAGAGCCTGGAAGTAGGCATTTTTGATATCGGAGCCCTGCACAGGTACTCCTTCTGACGCTGCGAATGCGCACACCATGGCGTGGGTTTCAATATCCGATGTGGGCGAATCGGTCCTCACTCCACACTCGCCTTCAAAGTTGCCACAAGCAACCATGCGGGACTTGAATTCTGGATCGAATGATTCCAGGTGCTGTTCGTGGATGTTTTTGACAGTGTCAACCCACTTAGAGGGCAATGGAACATGTCCCTCATCCAATAAGTCCTTTAGGATCTTACCGGTTACTGGAATCGCCGCTTGGAATGATTCATACTTCATCCATTCCTTCTTTCTAGATTCATCGATCTTGCGCTGGACAGCGGGTGAACAGTCATAGTAGTTGAGGCTGCCTGGAAGGGACTTGGCTTCTTCCTTTGAAATGTTTGCCGCGCGATTCGCCATAAAGGCTATGAACTTAGCCCGCGGTCGGGCTTGAGTCGCACTCAGCGCCGTGTTTTGGTCGCTGACAATTCTAGGTGGCGTCGCTTCCGCATCCCTTACGTGCTGGAAGTGCTGCCGCAGCTGCTCAGGCAAATCGTCCTGTACATCATACGACGGCCTCCGACTTCCACCTGGAGTCCTCTCTTGCTCAGGCTCGGCGATGCTAAGCCGACGAGACCTAGAACTCTGAGAGGTTCCTAAACCACTAGATCCTCTGATCCTTGGTCCACTCGAACTATTGGGACCTCGGTTCCTAACCCCAGGTGGTGATCTAGAGCGCGGGTGCTCCTCGTCTTCCTCTAGGATAGATGGCATGGGTCCATCACTGGGGCCCTCTTCAAGTGTCACATCTGGCGCTGGATCGTGATCCCCGGTTGGTGCTGGTTCACGATAGTCGTCGAACCCTTGTTGATCCTTAACAATTTCCTCAGGGATAATTGCATTCCCATGAAGGATATCAAAGGCCAAAGCCTCTGCGTCCGTTGCTGGTCGCAGGTTTTGCGCAGACGCCAAAACTGGAATGTTTTCGCAAAGCAACCAAACCGATTCCTTGCTACGCCCTTCAAAACCAATAACCCTAGACGCAGGAGACCACGATGTCTTCCCAGCCTTGGTGCGCCTAAAGGCTACTACGTCGCCCACCTGGTAATCTCCAGGAATCGCTCTCGCGTTGCGCAAAAGAGCGCGCTGAACTCGTTTAGAGGTGTCCAGCTGGACGAATGCTTTCTTCGCCTCAGCACGAACCATGTGTTGGAGCGCGAAAGCGGACTCGGGATCGAGAGAGTCCTGAATGGCTCCTAGATCTGCGTGCCCATCCTCACTAAGGATAGATGGTAGTTCACGCGGCGCTCGACCCAGCACCCATTGAGCTGGCGAGTAGCCTCCCTGTCTGAGTAGGCTGTTCTTTGTCAGGCAAGTCTCATCAAGTACTTGCTGCATTTCCAACCAACCCCGCGGTTGAGTTTGGCTGATGACCTTGCGGGCCATTCCTTTGATGATCCCGCCGTGTCTCTCCACTCGGCCTATGGCTTCGGGTGTTTCGAGCGGCGCGTGTGTAACATCCACTCCGTGCGCGGCCATGTACCTTGCTAGGACGCCGCGGTTGTGCAATCCGCGATCACATTTTAGTGCTTTGGGGTGACCAGCCCAAGTGATCCACCTCCTCTGTATGGCCTCGAGGCACTTTGCGCTTGACGCTTGACCGGGACCTTGTCGAACAATTTCGGCTAATTGGAAACATGTCCCTAAACAGATCATGTTTAGGACCTGAAACTTGGTTCCTGTAGCGTCTGTGACTTCTAGAAGGTCAATACCGAGAGTGTGATTGAAAACGTAGTTTTCGGGCAACGACGTGCTGTGCGCGCTACGTCTTGGCGCGTTCTCCTCGCACTCATTGCAGCGCAACAAACGCAGTCCATCTAGATACTGCGGGTCGACCTTCGCTGCTCTGAGAAGGTTTAAGAGTACCTTTCTCGGCGCATGCCCGAATTGTCGATGC